CTACTAACCAAAAGGTTGGCAGTTTGAATCCACCAGCCACTCCTTGGAAACCCTATGGGGCAGTTCTACTCTGTCCTATAGGGTCACTATGAGTCGGAATCAACTCGACTGCAATGGATTTGGTTTGGCCTTTGGTTTAAATGCTGTGGTTCTCTCTGTTTATGTTGTTGTTATGGTGTGCCATCCAGTTGATTCTGATACATCAGTGAGCAAAACAAAGAGAACCCTCTGTTCTTGTGGAGCTCACATTCTAGTGGGAGGAGATAAACCATATACAATAGCCTTAATAAATAAATAATCTATGTGGTTTGTTTCATTTGGATAAGAGCAATGGAAAAAAAATAGAATGGGTTAGGAGCAGAGATATGGTAAGGGGTTGCAATTTTAAATGTGTTGGTCAAGGTAGGTCTCATTGAGAAAGAGAATAGAATAAAGACTGAAAAAGTACAGGAGAATTAAATAGAATAAAAAAATGAAAGACCGCTTTTACCCTGCTACCCTTATGACTGTTAACTTCTTTCTCCCAAAAAACCAAAAACCCATTGCCATGACGTTGAATCCGACTCATAGCGACCCTGTAGGACAGAGTAGAACTCCACAGGGTTCCCAAGGCTGAATTTTTATGGAAGCAGGCTGCCACATCTTTCTCCTGTGGAGCAGCTGGTGGGTTTGAACTGCTGACCTTTTATTAGCAGCTGAGCACTTAGCCACCGTGCCACCAGAGCTCCTTACTTCTTTCCCCAAAGGTGGTCATTTGCAGTATTTTCTTCCAGAATTTTTCCTGCTCATTTACACACAAATATATACATAAAGAAATCTATTGTATCATTTTAAAAACATAACTGGTATTATAAGAACTATAAAAAAAAATTTGTATTTTGCCTTATGTCTTAGAAATCTTTCCACATTAGTTGCTATAGATCTGCCTCTTTATTTTTAACTGCTGTGTAGTATTGCATAGGATACTTGGAAATGGTTTATTTAACCATTTCCCTCTTATTGACCATTTAGGTTGCTATTACAAAACAGTATCCATTAACATTTTTGTGTAGGCATTTTGAGGGCACGTATGCAAGTAAAGTATAAGAACTTATGCAATTGCTTTGTAGAAGGACGTGCTGATTTTGAATTTTTATACGTGGTATCAGTAGCAAAAGCCTGCAACAGTGTCTTCAGTATCTGACAGTGTGCCTTATACCTTTAAATATCTTTGAGGAAGAAAATGCTTATCTGCAAAATGGCACATTTTAATTCCAGCAAGTTTATATTTTGTTATGTTTTTCAATAATGTGTGCCATTTAAATTGCAGTTTAGTTATTTACTTGACTATAAGCTGCTCAAAGACTGGGATAGAATTTTATTCATGTTTACTTTCCCTTTTCATCCAACAGACATTCTGTACGTTTGTTGACAACATGAATACCCATGTCTGGAAATCAAACATTAAACAAGTGCATGAATAGCCACATACTGCTCATGGGTAGGTCAGAAGTGGAGGGTGAAGATCAAAAGATGTTGTGTAATTGAGGTGAAGTTCAGAAAAAAATAGACTTAGTAGTTAGTAACGTGTTTAGACAGAGCAAGATGCTAAAATAAAGGAAGAATATTTTAGGAATGCTTAATTTTCAAAGGATAGTTTTGCTTTCTGGAAGTATAAAGCAGAATGTCCAGGTATTACAGCCTTAGTTGGAGGAGATTCAAAAAGCCAGTTTGGGATGTTTCTCATTTTGGGTAGATGTGCCTGCTCCTGGACCATATTTGTAGATCTTCCTAAACCCAAGAGAATTTCCAGTGGATGCTGTAAGATTATAGAATTATACCACTTTATCTTGAAATTTATATCCAAATACTTTGAAAAATTGGTCCTATGTTTTTAACCTGATTTTTTAGAAATAGCCTTGCAAAGTTTTAGTCACCCACTAGTAATTAATAATTTGTAACAAGTAAATGAAATAAGCATGAGTTATCTATTTATTATCTTCTTCTCTTGGATAGTGGAAGCCAGTTGTCTTAGTTTCTTAATGCTTCTGTAACAGAAATATCACAAGTGGGTGGGCTTTAAAGAACAGACATTTATTTTCTCACAGCTCTGGAGGCTGAAAGTCCAAATCAGGGTCTTGGCCATGTTGATTCCTTCCTTGTTGGTAGCCCCAGATGTTCCTTGTTTCCTTGGCTTGTAGACAGTCCTCACATGGCATCAGTCTTCCCCCGACGTGCGTATCTCTGTGTTTGATCTTCTCTTTTTAAAACTCAAAAGTGATTAGGTTTAGAACCCCATTCTACTCTGGAATGATCCAATTAACATAACAAAGAAAACCCTCTTTCCAAACAGGATTATATCCACAGTATGGAGGTTAGGATTTCAACACATATTTTGGGGAGACACAACTTAATGCATAGCATCAGTGGACACTAAAGAAGAATAATAATAATAGTAAAAATAAAGTTCATTAATTGAACAAATACTTAATCTGCGCTTGATTTATACATGGAAACATGTTGGAGACTGAGGAGTTAGATAAAAGCAAAGAAGAGAGTCTGCTCTGGCAGCTCTCCATCTTTGTTGAGAAGGGTGGTATTTCCAAGGAATAGGTTTCTTTAGGTAGTGCTTCCTGCGTTATATAACTATCATATGTAAAGCTTACAACTATTATCCCATTATTGATCTTCTTTTCACAAGTGTTTTATGACTTTTTATCAATTTTGCATTATATCTTAATTTTCCATAAAAAAGTGAAATTGGCTTTGATTTAAATTCACGAGGTTTTTGGTTTCATTTAACTGAAGAGCACATTTGCTAGGACTTCTGTTAAAGCAACATTCTTTTCATAGCAGCACCTCAGTTAGGTGTCATGAAAACCAGTGGTTCGCAACCCTGGCTACACATCAGAAAAACTGACAGCATTAAACATGCAGATATGTAGACCCAACCCTGAGAGAATTCTAATTTGGTAGTTTGGGGTGATGTCCCAACTCTAACTTTTAGAAAGTGTCTCTCCTGATTCTGATATGTGCCGAGGATTGAGAACCACTGCCTAGGAAAACCACACAAGATAGCTGTGAATTCAGAAGTCCAGACTGGAATTCAGGAAGACTGATTGCTCATAATTCCTGAAGGTTTGTTCTAAATAGCTACCTATCAGAAGTCTCCAGAGTAAACAAAACAAACAAACCAGAAAAATGTTTCAGAAATCCCTTGGAAAAGATGTCCTTATTTAAGCAAGTGTCATGAAGTCAGTGGAAGGTTTCTTGGCTGAAGCCCTGTGGTGCACAACAGATATATTGAAGAGTTTTGTTATAGAGACTCCAGGAGAGTTTAAGAAAATTTTTCTGTTTCCTAGCTCAGAGATTTTGTTCTCGGGAGAGAAGATACTTGGTATGGATTTAGGCTAAGTTAATTTTAATAAAGATTAAAATTAATTTTAATAGAGATTAGCAATGTGAAAGCTAAATTTATTGCTTATGTTATTCATTGCTATTACCTGATGAATTTCAAACCACCTTTAGCTTTTTTGGAGCTCTGGTGGCACAGTGGTTAAGAGCTCGACTGCTAACCAAAAGATCGGCAGTTCAAATCCACCAGCCGCTCCCTGGAAACGCTATAGTGCAGTTCTACTCTGTCCTATAAGGGTTACTATGAGTCGGAATCAACTTGATGACAATGGTTTTAGGTTTTGTTTTGTTTTTAGCTTTTTAAAAATTATTTCAGATGAAAGCTTGTTTTCCAAATGCCTGTCAATTCTCATGCATGTTTGTTTTATATCCGTGTGTAGATGGGGAGAAAAATTTGATTTCTCTGGCTAAATTGATTATGCTTAGCCTTAGTCATCATGATCAGCTTTAGCTTGATATTTTTATGATGCTATCTTCGAAAAGGTGTTGTTATGGCAGATGACTGGCCTTCTGACTAGTTGTGATGAAAGTTAGATTTGTGATCACAAATTTACTGTATTTTTCGAAATAAACTTTTTACTTTGGAACAATTTTAGATATACGGAAAAATTGCAAAGATAGTATAGAATTCCCATACACCCTGTCTCAGTCATCTAGTGCTGCTCTAACAGAAATACTACAAGTGGATGGTTTTAACAGAGAGAAATTTATTGTCTTCACAGTCCGGTAGGCTACAAGTCCAAATTCAGGGCATCAGCTCCAGGAAAAGGCTCCCTCTCTCTGTTGGCTCTGGAGAAAGGTCCTTGTGATGCCTCAGTCTTTACTTGGTCTGGGAGCATCTCAGCACAGGAACCTCAGGTCCAAAGGACACGCTCTGCTCCCAGCACTGCTTTCTTGGTGGTGTGAGGTTCCCCGATTGTCTTAGGCTGGGTTCTCTAGAGAAGCAAAACCAGTAAAGTGTATAAATATATATATAGAGAGAGATTATATCAAGGAAACAGCTCACGTGATTGTAGAGGCTAGAACGTCCCAAGTCCGTGGATCAGGGTAGAGGCCTCTCCCAAGTCACACAGCTGCAGAAGCGGGAAAGCCCAAGATCGGAAGGTCGGAGAGCAGGGCTCCCACTCACAGGCTGTGCAGATGGACAAATCCCAGGTTCGGCAGATAAGCTGACAGCTCGAGTCCCAAGAACGGGAGATGAGACGACAGGAAGCAGCCGCAGGATCCAGAGAGAGCAAAAAGCCAGAACGTCTGCTTATATACAGATGCAGGCCACACCCCCAAGGAGACTCCCTTTCATCTGATTGGCTACTCACAGTATATTCAGTCATGGGAGTGATTACATTAAAACATGGAGAATCATGGCCCAGCCAAATTGACACACAATCTTAACCATCACACACCCCTTACCCAGTTTTCCCCATTGTTAACTTCTTACATGATGCTGGTAGATCTGTCACAAGTAAGAAACCAACACCAGTGCATTACTCTCAACTAAACCCCAGAATATACCCGATTTCACTAGTTTTTCCAATAATGTCCTCTTTCTGTTCCCAAGATCCAATCCAGGATACCACATTGCATGTAGCTACTGTATTTTTAAAAATAGACAATTAAAAGATTAGGCGGAGCTCTATGGAAAATTAGAGAGTAGATGTTGCCTCTTTCTTTTCTCCATTCTGACACTTTTTCCTCTCTTTTACCCAGCTCCACTGCCTCTTCAAGGCCTATTTCCAGGGTGATGTCTAAAATTAATTTATTACTTTTTTTTCCTCCTCTTATCAAAACATCCAGTTTCTCAGGTGCCCTTCTTATAGCAACCTGTTCAGAAGGAAAAAAGAAATTTGATAAACATATCTATATTATATTGCTAATGAATGACAACTGCTTAATGTGTTAGCTTTCTTTTAAGTTTCTACATTTAAGAGTATACCCAAAAGGTCATGCCCTAATCTGATAGAATGGATCCATAATGGTGCAATTGTGGGCCCTGCAGCTGGTTTTCAAGGAAGATGTTTTGTACAGGGAACTTCCTTCTAAATCACTCCTGTGCAACTTTGCACATTTTCTGAGGAATCACTCATCTTGCTTATACACCTGTGAGAGCTAAAGGCTGGTCCCTTGAGTATATGCAGGCTTTACCTACACAGTAAGGTTGCAGGGTGTGCCCAGGGTTCCAGCCATCAGGCCACTTAACTAGCCCTCCATCCTGATGATGGCCCATGAGTAAAGGAGCAAGGCAGGATCTAAAGACCTCCCCAGTGGAGAACAGACGTTGTCACCTCCTAGTAAATTCCTCCAAGGTGTTTCAGATTACAGTGGTTCTTTGACCAAAGGTAGGATGTTTTGTAAATGCTGATGTGGCCTTTGGTTGTATCTCAGACCTAAATTAAGATTGTGGAGTCAGCTTGAAAGATTCTTTACAAGAGATCATTGGGTGTAGGCCCAGGCCCTCAGGCTGGATAATGAATACAGGTTATTTGTTCTTCAAACATAGTCATTTTTCCCAGCATATGATTATGAAAATTTTCAAACATTACAATGTTGAAAGACTTTTACAGTCAGCGCCAATATATACCTATCACCTAGATTCTGCCATTACTATACTTGCTTTATCACATACCTATCCACCTGTTCATCCATCACTTCATCTTAATTTTTTTTTTGATGAATTTCAAACTAAGTTACAGACATCAGTACACTTCCCCCTGTTACTTTGGTAGTAGTGTAATTATTTTTGAGAAATCAGACAGCAAGCATTTCATGCTCTTAAACTTCAGAAAACTATTACCAGAAGAATATCTAATGATTTCTGATTATTTTAAAATTGATGGTAAGTTTAGGAATAGGAGCTCCTTTTCATTCATTTTCATTGCTGTTTCTCTTTGAGGACTGTATCTTTCCATTTTTACTGTAGGACATAGTTCACAAAAGTAGTGCTTGAGGTGAAAATATTTTAGGTGTCACATTAGGGCCTGGTTCTCATCTTTGAGAGACAAATACAACCTATCACTCTGGTATTTCTGATGGGGAAATTTTTTTTTATATAATTTATTTTATTTTTGTTGTTTAGGATATACACAGCAGAGCATATACCAATTCAACAATTTCTAAATGTACAATTTTGTGACATTGATTACATTCTTCAAGTTGTACAACCATTCTCACCCTCCTTTTCCAAGTTGTTCCTCCTCCATTAACATAAACTCACTGCCCTCTAAGTTTCCTGTCTAATCTTTCGAGTTGCTGTTGTCAATTTGATTCTATATAGATAGATCTCAAAAAGAGCACAATGCTCAAGGCATTCTTTACTAGTTAAGCTAAATTACTGTTTGGTTTCAGAAGACTTCAGGGGATATTTTTGGTTTAAGTTTTAAAGATTATCTCAGGGCAATAGTTTCAGGGGTTCATCCAGCCTCCATGGCTCCAGAAAGTCTGGATTCCATGAGTGAAAATGTTTTTAAAAAATCCAGCTATTCTTACGTATTTTTTAAATTCAGTGAATATTTGTTCAAAGTAATGATTAAAGGGACAGGTTTTATACTAATCCTAAATTCTTTTCATTTGGAGGCTCTTAATTTAAATCAAATTATGTAACAAGAAAAAAAAGTTGTGCTAAGGTATCTCTGTTATCAAGTTTAAAATATCAAATAGTGCGTTCAGTGTTGTTCAGTGGTTCTCTAAAAGCATCTGAAGGATCATTTGGTGAACTTGTTAAAGATACATATTCCTCCCCAACTCCACGAAATTCTGAGTCACAGTCAGGCTGAGGCCTAGAAGTCTTCATTTTAACACGTGTCCTCAGTGATTCCAAGGCAGGTAGTCAGAGGATGACACTTTGTGTAATACTGCTTTAAGACCTTTTGGAAATTAATTGTCCCTGATAACTGTGACTTAATGTTAACTGCACTGATCTTACTGTTCCATTTTGGTTTCCTGAAGTGCTGTAATGGTGGTTCTCTTAACAGATCGCAATGAATGCCAGCAGTATACCCGAGCAAATACAGTCCCTTTCTGTGCAGGACTCTCAGGTATGTTTCTCTGCCAGTCATTCATATTTGAGATGCTCTGTAGACAGATATTTAGAAAAACCAGCATTTTAGAAAGATAGACAGTGTCAAGGTAGTGCATCCAAATCAGAGGCTTGTAAGCTCTCTTTTTTAATAGGTATGGAGTAAACGAGGGCTGTTACTATTGACTGTAATTTTTTCAGAATATCCAACCTTTACATGATAGGTTCAAAATCAAGAATTGATTGCTAGACTCCTTCTGAAATTGATGGCACTGTGTAAAATAAGAGAAGGAAAGAAGATGACTCACCATTCTATTACACTGTAGCCACGAAACATATGGTTCATTTATACTTTTCTTTTTCACCCCTGGTTGGATACTATAAGCTATTTTCATAATTATTTTATCATTGAATTTTATAAACAGTTTATCTCTACAGCTTGACTTGTAAAAATTATAGCCCAGTGACTGTGAAATGCCTTTATATTAAAAGTTATGTGACAGAAGACATGTGCCATGAGTTGTGTTAGGTGGCAGTGAAGGATTCTGAGCAGTCCGGGAGAAGGAATATGAACATAGAGCCAGAGTACAGGCTCCCAGTTCTGATTTTGCTGAATAATTAATAGGTAAACCCTTTGCTCTCAACTTGGTTAAACTATAAAGCACCACCCTTCTTTGGACATTTTTTTCCCCAAACCTGCATATTCCATTTCAACTCATTTCTATTCCACCTGATATGCATTTTATGAAACAGATAACATACTGTGAAGATGGTTAGAGTGATGGAATTTCATGGTAGCAGGAGGCATGTTGGAGGTCAGATACCTAGTTCCTGGCCCTTGTTTATAGCTGACAAAGCAGAGACCTACAGGGGTTAAGTTGCTTGCCCAAGGTCACACACCTGGTTAGAGGTTTTATGCCTTTACAGGCAACCCGGTAAAATGCCTTGAGATAAACTATAGGGACTGGTTGAATGATAAAAGGCAAATTGGGGATAATAATAAGTCAGAGACAAGGAGAGTAAAGGAAACAGCAAAAGGGATTAGGGTAGCTGGTACTGTATAACATTTATAGTTTATGATGCACTATAATATATAGTAATATATAAGTAGAGGGTCAGAGAAAAAGAAGAAGACCTCAATGAGATGGATTGACACAGTAGCTTCAACAGTGGGCTCAAGCATAGCAACAATTGTAAGAATGGCGCAGGACCGGGCAGTGTTTCGTTCTATTGTGCGTGGAGTTGCTATGAGTCAGAACTGACTCAATGGCACCTAACAACAACAACAGCATAATATATATTGTTTTGTTTCCCCAACAATCTGTTGAGGCAGGTATTATCTCCATTTTGCAAATCAGCAAATTGGTTCATTGAAATACTTGCCTGTGGTTGCATAGCTGGTCATTGGCAGAGCTAAATCTTGACCTGAAATTCCTTTCTTCCCTACTCCAACAAGAAGGTTGACTTGTCTCTGGGAATTGGTAGGGATAGGGCAAGGCCATGTAGTAGAGACACTCCTGGTTGATGTCTGTATTCAAGGGACTAAGCTCTAGTCTAGGAAAGATAAACGCTGGTCTGATCTACTGGGTTCCATGTTTCTCTGCATCATAAGGTTCAAGGTGCTCAACTTCTGTGTCTCACCAAGGCCCAGAGGGCAGTAGTCCATGGCTCAGGTTGCAAGGTGCCACTTTAGATGGCTGGCCCTTCTTCTTTGGACTTACTGCAGCGTATACCAGTTGTTTATAGTGCTCATCCTACGACTGAGATTTCTATATGAAACCTTCATACCCATAATTGTGATGCAAATCAGGTATGATTCCATCCTCACACAGAGCTGTTGTGAGGCCAAAATAAGACTGAATGTGCTAACATCTAGTTTTGAGATCACCAGAAAGAAAGGGCTGTATGAATCCAGGGATATTGTGATTTTATTCATTTGTTTTCTGACAAAATTATAACAGCATTTGTTGTTTTGTTTTTAAAGGGCCAACCCAATGCTAGCGAAGACTATAGAGAAGCTTCTTGTGTTGTGAACCTCGTTTTAAGATTAAGGTAAACAATATTGCTGTTTACTTTGCATCGTTTTTCCTATAGTACAATATTCTGATTGCCTTCATTAACTTTTCATAATGTTAACATGAAATAAAATTGTTAACTTATTTGATTCCCTCAAACAACCAGTGTATGCTGGATTCCCAGGACTAATTGCTCTCTTTGACGTAATTGTGTGCTGAAGAAGAATAAGAAGAAAAGCACCATATGAGTGTGTCTGCAGGCTCTATGTACCCTTCATTAAGTATTTTTCCCTCGCCTTTTCTTTCTTTCTCTCTCTCTTTTTTTTTCTTTTTTAAAATGTAAGATCACAGTAAGAGATTTTTAATGAGTTTCCTTCACACTTCAGCAGTCAGTCTCTGACAGAAATAAACCATGCTTGTAATACAAGTTGCCTGTTCAGAACATTTTTCAGTGGCAGGTTTGATCAGCCACTGTGGAGAAATGACAGACATGTTTTGAAAGAACCCTCAGTTTTCTAGGAAATGGATACAAATACGGTGTTTGACGTGGAATTTTTGTATCTACTGAGTGAAAGCACTTTCTGTTTCAAGAACTTTTTAATTTAAAGGCCTATCTTTTCATATATTCTTTACTAAGAATTTGGTATCTCAAGACAATAGAAAATGACTTAAATGTGATTGTAAGCAGCTAAATTTACTAGGTCAATCAGAATGCAATCACAATTTTGAAAATTCCTTAAAATAAGTTATACATATGTTCAGAGGCAGTGGTGATTCAGTGGTAGCATGCTCACCTTCCACGCCCGGGCTGAGGCCCAGGTTCAGTTCCTGGCCAATGAACCTCATGTGCAGCCACCACCCCTCTGTCACTGGAGGCTTCTGTATTGCTACGATGCTAAACAGGTTTCAGCAGAACTTCCAGCTAAGATGGACTGGAAAGAAAGGCCTGGAGATCTGAAAATCAGCCAGTGACAACCCTGTGGGTCACAGTGGTCCAGTCTGCAGCTGATCATGGGGATGGTGCTGGACTGGTCAGTGTTTCGTTGTGTTGTGTATGAGTTGACATGAGTCGGGCCAACTTGACGACAGCTAGCAGCAGCAACAACAACACGTATGTTCTCTTTCTGATAATTAAAAACAAAGTTCATGGCTAATGAACATTTTCAGAGCAGTGGCCATAAAAACCAGGATTCATCATCAAGGTTAGTTTCCAGCTCTCTGAGTTATCAAGTCTGTCAGGGTGGATTCTCTTCCCCATAGTCACCTCTTCTAATTGTCATTTACAGTCTATAGTACATTTTCACATGCTTATCAGGCAAATCTCACAATAACCTGTGGTGTAATTTAATTCAGAGTTGATTTCACAGTAAAGAAGTAAAATTATTACAAGACTATTCTCCTTAGGAGTCCTTGGGTGGTGCATATGGTTAATGTGCTTGCTGCTAAATGAAAGGTTAGAGGTTTGAGTCCACCCAGAGACACCTCAGAAGAAAGTCCTGGCAGTCTACTTCTGAAAAATCAGCCGCTGAAAACCTTACGGAGCAAAGCTCTATTCTAACACACACGGGGTTGTCATGAGTCAAAATAGACTCAGCGGCAACTATTTTTTTTTTTTTTTGTAAGTAATCTTGATTATTATTCATAATTAGTGAATTTAGCAATCTCCAAAAACTGAAACAGCTCATTCTCTTTTTGTTTGACTTTGGAACCAGTACTTATTTATTTATTTATTTTCACTTATTCAAATGTTCATTCAACCAATATTTATGAGGTCCACTCTGTGCCAGACCCTGTGTTTGTCATGACATGCAGGGATGAGCAAGACTGTGGAGGTTACAGCCTGGCCCACTGAGGATGTAGTCTTGGAAGTGACCTTTGGGATCCAGTAATTCAATATCCAAGGAGCCCTGGTGGCATAGTGGTTGAAACACTTGGCTGCTCACTGAAAGGTTGGTGGTTTGGACGCTCCATGAAAGAAAGATGTGGCTATCTGCTTCCATAAAGGTTTTCAGCCTTGAAAATCCTATGGGGCACTTCTGCTCTGTCCTATAGGCTCACTGTGAATCAGAATCAACTCAATGCAAAGGGTTTAATCCAGTATCCTACTTTACATATGCAAAATCTTTTCTTAATGTCCCTGTTGAATACTTACTTCGGTTTACTTTTCTCCCACTGCCACCCCTTATGATATAGAGGAATACTGGAGGACTTCTGGTGGCACAGTGGTTAAGAGCTGCGGCTGCTGACAAGGGTCGGCAGTTTGAGTCCACCAGCTGCTCCTGGGAAATCCTATGGGGCAGTTCTTCTCTGCCTTACATGGTCGCTATGAGTTGAAATCGACTTGATGACAATGGGTTTTGTTTTTGTTTTTGTTTTTTTTTTTAAAGTAAAAAGAAAGTTTTATTTGGCATATATTCAACAGGACAAAAATGGGAAGCGGACAAGCATGCTGCCAGAGCTAGAATGTCTGCCCGAATCCAAAGAATATCACAGAATAGGCAAGAATGGGACAACGGACATGCATGCTGCCACAGCCGTGTCTGCCCAAGTCCCTGGTTTTATTTTTTATGATACTGGGAACTTTAACTGTTGGTTCTTTCTCCTTCTGAAGATTCAACCGACCTTCCTGTTCTGGGCTTCTGTAGGCTCTAATTGTGCCCCTTAGAGCAAATATTAGACTCTCTAGATAAAGATCTCCTGGGGAGCATGTTAAAAAGCGTATTTCTGAGCCTTAGCTCTTTGTTTCAGTCTAGACACTAGAACAACATAGAACAAATGTACGCCCTCATTTTTCTGTATGTTTTCAAGTCTTGTTCTTCTCTTTTCCTAGGTAAAAGATTTCAAGTACCTTTAGTCTTTGTACTTATAATATGTATGTTTCCATATCAGCCCTTCCAGTCCTGGATATTCACTTTTATTAACATTTAGTCTGCATCTACTTTTGTTATCTTCTTCCTCACAGGTCTAGGCTGTTGTTTCCCAAAGTTTGTGGCTTAGATCTCTAGCCCTACAAGATAGTAGATTTGTCCTGAAATAGTAGACATGTCATGAAGAAAATGTTTCATGTTTAAATGCATTAAGAAACAGTGCATTCTATATCCCTGCCTGTAGACACACACACTCTTCGGAAATCACAATGAACATTAACATAGTAAAGGTTCTAAGAAGTTCTGCAGGAAAGGAATTTGTTTAACTTTATTTACTCTAAAACCTATTTGACCTCAGAACTCTTTGCTTGGAATTATTTTCCTGCTTAACATTGTCTCTTTTAAATGTAGCACACCCTTATTAAAATACGGGACTCCAGATGTGGTCTAAACTAATTGGAGAGTACAGGAGTGATATCATGTGGTTTTTGCAGTTCACCCTCTATTTTTCTCCTAATTTAGCACAAGGTTTTATTGCCTTTTGAAATATTTATGTGCCTTGGTGACGAGTTTGGCATGACCCAACAGTCAAAGAAAACCTCTGATTTTGTTTGTTCCATTTGAAGTGCTGCCGAGTCTAATTCTGAACTGCAGCTCAGGTTTTAAAATTCTTTGTATGAGTTAACATTTATCACTATAATAATTAACCTGTTAGTTTTGACTCATGGCTTGCCTGCCATTCATTTCAATCACGTTTGTCAATGTGTCATATTAGTTAGAATGTTTAGATATACGTCCCTTGCCAATCTGATAAACTTGTTTTTTACATCTTTATCTGAAACATCGATTAACTTGTACAACAGTTTTGGGGAGGACAGAGTCTTCTGGCATCTGTTAGAAACCACTTTCTGAATGGCTTTCAATAACTAACTAGTATTCTTTGTTATACTTGCTCAAAAAGAAACAAATCCAGTTGACTCTTTCGTCTTTCAGTGGATATTTAACTATTTGGAAGCATATCATAAAGGGATCTAATACTGTATTTTAATGCAAATAATGTGCACCTATTACATTTGTTTGCCAACTGCGCCCTTCCCTTGTGAGGGATTTTCCTAAGCGCTGCTATGCCAGTTTTTTTTTTTAACATGTTGCTGTTAAAGAATTAGCATAGCATGCTTATGAAAACACCTCGGGGCGGGGGGCAGGAGCGTGGTGGCAAACAAATACAGAAGGCGCACGTTATTTTCATAAAATACTATAAATGTGTTTCTGACATTAAGACATACTACATCAATGATATTTTTCTGAATCTAACCGCTTAGAATCCCTTTCAAAAAATGGCAATGAATTTTAGTATGATTTACTTTCAGTAAACACATGTTGATGCCTAATTGTTGGTATCCTTTTTTATCCCCCCTAAATGTTTACAAGGCATTTGTTTAAACTAGTTTTTTTCAAATTTGGAAACTCATGAATCTATCAGAATGTATCGTTGGACCCCCCAGGGGGGTTCTTGTACTTAAGTTTGTGAAATAGCCTTTTAAAGTTAAAAGTTAAATGCTATTACATTTTTTTGATCACTTTGTGCTAATGTAAATGCAAACAGTATTCATTCTATAAACATTAAGCACCTACTATGTGCATGACACTCTTCTATGTGCTGTGATGCAGCAGTGGAAAAAAGAAAAGACAAATTACTTGCCCTCAAGGAGCTTACATTCTAGAGACGGGGAGATGAACAATTAAAATATTCAAATGATACACCAAAAAAAAAAAAAAAAAAGAAACCAGTACCGTCGAGTCAATTCCAACTCATAGCGACCCCGTAAGACAGAGTAGAACTGCCCCATAGGGTTTCCAAGGAGCGGCTGGTGGATTTGAACTGCCGACCTTTTAGTTAGCAGCTGTAGCCCTTTACCACTGAGCTACCAGGGCTCCGATACACACACACGCACGCACGCACGCACACACACGCATATATGTATGGTATATAGTTACATGACAACACACATATATATGGTATATGTAAAGTTCTCTGAAGCAAAAGCTATGTCAGGAGGATAGAGAATATAGGAGGATGTTAGTCTATGTTAGGGAAGGCATATTTATTTTCTGTTGCTGTGTAGAAGCTACCACAAACTTAATGACTTTAAAGCAACACCCATTTATT